TATATAATATACAAATTTCGATTTGTAAAGAGCATCATCTCTTCAAAAAGGTGATCTAGTTTACGCATTTTCAACATTTCTATAAACTGTAGCGAGCCACCTTAAGCTCCGATGAGGGAGCCGTGTTCTCACTAAAGACAACATGCCTTGGTAATCTGATAGTGACAGACGTACTATGATCCTCACGGGAAAACCGTCATGAAAATCGCTTGGAATTGTAACTAAATTATAAAATTAAGTGTGCGCAAAGACATGAAATCTATAAAAAGGTATTGTTTACAAAAGAAATCAGTTGCACATGCCTTTACTGACTCTACTTAAGCCCGCTGAGGATGCGTTTTCTCGCAATAAAGACAACATGCTTGGTAATCTGATAGTGGCAGATAGTCCTCACGGCAAAATCGCTTGGAATTTTAACTAAATGATCAAATAAAGTGTGCGCAAAGACGTGAAGTCTGTTTCGAGAAAAGCTGCGTATCTTAAGAAATTTAAACCACTAGTATATATGTTACTATTATATTATTTTATGTGGTTACGCGGATCTCGTACAGTATAATTCATATAAATTTAGTATACCTAGGTATGATTGCACATTTGCACTCTAGCTAAATCTGCTATATATTTTGTCATCGATACAATGGAAGTATGTGTTTATATATCTCAAAAATACATCATACACAAACATAAAATGAAAACGTTTAATAGAACATATTCTGCTATTCATCAAACAAATTCTTGCGTGAACTATAGCTAGATTTGTTGTCGCCAACCAAAACAGTCGGCATGTTTCTCTGTCTGTATATTACTTTAAAGATATATAGTTACACTGTATTAGTAGCGTCAGACAATTTCCCTAAAATTACCTGTATATACTAATGAAGAAACACAAATTTAGGCGAAAAGACGGACAGTATGTACATTGGTTTGCGTTCCGCAATATGAAAGATAAACTGTAAAGGAGCAAATTAAATATCGCGGCCACGCTAGAGCTATTCGAAGGCAGTTAATAATTCCGATTGTTAGGCCTATTTGACAGCTAAAAATAAAATTATCACGATCGTTCCATTTAAGTATTGAAGTTTATAAATCTGTTAAAATATACCCAATAACTTTGTTCTAACAGCAAGAAATTTTAAGCCAAACAGGCATGGCCCTTCTGATTATTATAAAGTAAAACGACGCCATTTCCCATTAACACTAACACCGCTGGAAAAAACGAAGCCCGCGCTTCCGGGAGCAAAATGCATAGCAACCGACCACCGTGTCCGCCCCCCTAATTTTTTCCTTCCGGTACGCCCATGTTGAGTTAGCTGGTTTCTTAACTTCGATAAAAGCTTATTGTGTGCCTTACGCAAGTTTTATTTACATTAATATAACTACAGAAGACTGAGTTATAGTTTACAAAAGAAATCAGTTGCACATGCCTTTATTTAAGCGGAGATGAGGGAGCCGTTTTCTCCTATTAAAGACAACATGCCTTGGTAATCTGATATATAGTGGTAGATGTACTACGGTATGATCTACGGAAAACCATTTGGAAACGTTTGGAATTGTAACTAAATGACAAAATTAAGTGTGCGTAAAGACATGAAATCTGTTTCAGGGAAAGCTGCGTATCTTAAGGAATTTAAATCACTAGTATACTGTATGTTACTATTATTTTATGCAGTTACGAATCTTGCGCAGTATAAATAATAAACTGTAGTAGGCTGTAGTATACTTCGCAGGTATGATTGCACTGTAGCTAAATCTGCTATATATATTGTCAAATGGAACTATGTGTTTATATATGAATATCTCAAAAATACATCGTACACAAATATAATATGAAAGCATTTTATAATAGAACATATTCAACAAACAAATATTCTTGCGAGAACTATAGTATAGCTAGGTTTTTTGACGCGACTAACCAAAATAGTCAGTATGTTTCTCTGTCCGGCTGTTATGGCGCTTTTTCGGGTTCAAAATGCAATACTATAAATTTGTCGATATCTGTCTTTGGAAGAGTAGCTATTTGACGTGTATATATGAATTTGTCGAATAAAAGTTCCATAAATTCTTGAATTTGTCGAATTAAAATAAACAACTGTTCATGACTTCGTCGATAGTTTAAATTCTTCGATGATGCCTTGCGACCTTGGGGACTTGAGCCCGCAGATCTCGGATTTATTTTGAGTAGAATTACATGAAGTTTTCCATAAACACGTGTTTCGTTTGTTCGCCGTTCTTGCATTATTCATTTATAGTTTTAATAAATGAATGAAAAAGCCTGTCGATATTAGACACTAAAAATGGAAAATATTCTGAGAGACTGTGCAGAAAAACTTATTACAGCTGCTAATATAGCATCGTTTCTGTTCCTGCTGGACAACAAATGTCTCTGGTGATAACAAATTTCGGTCTTCCCACAGAGCTAGCCAGGGACGCCGGAACTGGGGGGGCAGGGGGGTGGCTGCCCCCCTTGCCTTTTGCTAGGGGGGGCAGGGGGGCAGAAGTGCCCTTTTAGTTGTAAAATAATACGTGATAAATCACATTTCCAACGATGCTTTTTGTAGGAAAATCACGAGATTCAGGTAATTTATAGTTTATATTTATAAAAATTTTGGGAAATTTTTGGAATTTAGAAAAATATTTTGAAGAAATGGCGAAAATTTAAGATATCCGGAAAAAATTTTTGGCTTCACGGAAAATTTTTGTATGTCCGGAAAAAATTTTTGACCCCTAAAATGGTACACTGACCGAAATTTTTTTGGCAACGGGGGGGGGTCGCCAAAAAATTTTTCAGTGAAAAAAAAAATTTCAGTAAAGGTGCCCTTGGTGTGTGTCCGCCCCCCTTTACCCTATTATCGTTCCGGCGTCCCTGGAGCTAGCTCTGTTTTGTTCTAACACATTGGGAAGAGTTGTTCTGTTTTCTAAATTTAAATTTCGAAGCAGTGAAATAACTTCTGAAATAGCATGGAAGGTTGAGTTAAATCTGTTTCCCATTCGAGTCAAGTGACCACATATTTGTTCCAGGCGAATGATATATAAGGAAGTCTACAACTTCTTCGTCTGGACTGGACTGCAATCTTCTGGACAGATCAAGAAGGGACTGCCTTAATCTTGATGCATACAAACTTATTACATCATTCGCCTGCGCCATCTTGTGAAAATTCTATGTAAAATTAAATGACGTTTTCATTTTCTTTATTAATACTTTGAGATCTGCGGGCTCAAGTCCCCAAGGTCGCAAGGCACAGCCGTTCCGCACGTTGTAACCAATAATTTATTGGCGTTGTAATGCCATTGTATGCAATAAAGTATTGGTTACAATGGATTTACAATTAATCCAAACGCTAATCCTAACTCAAACCCTAACCCTAACCCTAACCCCTAACCCTAACCCCACCTCCTAACCCCTAACCCCACCTGCTAACCCCGCAACCTAACCGCAAACCCTAACCCCGGCCAGCTACCCCTCCGGGGAATTCCCCTGACGCCTCCCCTCCGTCCACCAAGCAAAGCCAATTACACTTATAACTAAAACTTTTGTGCAGTGGTTGTGGTTTTGTTTTCAGTTACAACCCAATACTTTATTGCATACAATGGCATTACAACGCCAATAAACTATTGGTTACAACGTGCGGAACGGGTGCAAGGCATTATCGAAGAATTTAAACAATCGACGAAGTCATGAACAGTTGTTTATTTTAATTCGACAAATTCAAGAATTTATGGAACTTTTATTCGACAAGTTCATATATACACGTCAAATAGCTACTCTTCCAAAGACAGATATCGACAAATTTAAAGTATTGCATTTTGAACCCGAAAAAGCGCCATAGGCTGTCGATATATTACTTTAAATCGATATATGTTATGTATTAGCAGCATCAGATAATTTCCCCAAAATTACCTGCATATACTGATGAAGAAACACAAGTCTAGGCGAAAAGAGGAAAAGTTTGTACATTGGTTTGCGTTCCGTATTATGAAATATAAACTATACAGGAGCAAATATGATATATCGTCTGCGGCGCAGGCTAGAGGTATTCGACGGCAGTTAATAGTTCCGACCAGTTATTTGACAGCTAAATAAAATTATCACAATCGTTCCATTTAAATATGGAAGTTTATAAATCAGTTAAAATATACCAACAAATTTTGTTTTAACTGCAAGAAATTTTAAGCCAAATACATGACCTTTCCGATTATAAGGTTAATAAACAACGCCATTTCGCATTCACACCAACACCGCTGGAAAAAACGAAGCCCGCGCTTCCGGGAGCAAAATGCATAGCAACCAACCACCGTGCGTTTCGTTTCGACGTTTCGCCTTTTAGTACATGCCATTTTGAAGTATACCTTCTGACCACTGATCTAATTTTGACCCAATCTTGAAACCAGAGCCTGCAATCCTCTGAGGAGGCTTGCTGACGTTCTGGAAACACCAGTGAAAGTCGGGCTCTGATTGGCTGTTTTTCAAGTGCTAATTATTATTCAAACTTTGAGCCGTATTCAGTGATTCAAATTTCAAACATCGTTTGAAATTCGTTTAAAATTAATATAAAGTTTATTTCTCTTTGTGTATTATGTTTAAACATATCGATGGAACACACAGCATAACTTTAATAAACTTATTAAGCTTTCCTAGCTTTTCATATGAAATCAAAAGACTATTCTGAGTCTTCTGATATTGATATGCCAAATTAGAATAACAGTGCAGCATTACCATATTAGGTCATGATAAGCCGTTGCCTATAATATTTAAAATAACACAACAATCCATGATTTACCGTAATTAAACAAGTTAAAATAAATCACTACCAGTATCTTACAACAATTCAAAACCATGGCAAGTGTTCTTTGAAGAACTAAAGTTGTAATAAGCTTAAACAACGGCATAATTCATGTTTGACGGCAGTAATGTCTATTTATAAATGTCGAGCAGAGTACTGGATCCAAATGTACTGATTTTCGTGCAAAAGTCGCCAGTGTTTCCCAGAGCCTCAGCAAGCCTCCACAGAGGATTGCGGGCTCTGGTTTCGAGATTGATTCTGACCAGCCCAGTGAACTGAACCAGCCTCGTCCCCAGGCTCCAACTCAGACGCACGGGTTCCGACGCAAGCGGTGCACACTGAGCTGTAGAGCTCAGTGGCGGTGCACCGGCCGATGCACACGAATTAATCAGTATATATACTGACAAAATCGTAAACGGCGTCAGTATGTATACTGCGTCACGGGATCCCCTCGAACACCCTCACACATACAAACGCAAATTATGCTGTTAGGCGGCTCAAACATATAATTATCTCATTCGAAAATCCGTCTCTACAGCTCTATAGTCCGCACACTTGCTGTCGTTAATATCGTTGGAATTATCGCATATTTTGTTGATTTGTCCTTCAATATTGTTTAATTGCTATAATATCCGAAAGAGGAAGATCTACCTTTTCAATTTCGCAAAAGGCTCGTTTCGAACAAGCGTGGTCGTCTGGATTGCGATCAACTGGAAGACAAACTGCTTCGCAGATTTCATTGCTTGCCGAAGAACTCGGTCTACGCGACTGGGAAATTGTTTTTGTTCGACTGGGAAATGATCATGAGAGTTAAATCATAGTCGGACTTCAAATATTACATCAACTCTCATGCGACACTTGTTCTCGTTTGACTGGGAAATGAGAGTCAAATCATAGTCGGATTTCAAATATTACGTCAACTCTCAACTCTTGAGTTTGAGTGGGAAATGAAAAAAACTCTCGTGCAAACTCTCGCTTATACAAACTCTGGTCAACTTTGACCTGGTTGAAACTTTAATTAATGAGAGTTGACGATTTTCACCACGCGCGCTGTAATATCCAGTCACCTCTCGTGCAACTCTTCTTCTGGTTTTGACCGGGCCACCAGAGTCATCTCATACCTAGCGTATTAGCGGCTCACCTATTGGCTAAGAGGAGGTGCGTTCAATCCCGAACCCGCCTGCTGACGTATGTGCGTCCAATCCCAGAATCACCTCTCTGCGAGTATGTTTGTTATAAAACCTGTCATGCAAACTCTCGCTTGCCAACTCAGTCTCTCATGCAAAATCTCGCTTCTAAACTCTAATCAATTAATTGTATGAATATACATTTTATTGTTTAATGATTTCAGGCTACGTTGATTGTACCAGAAAGATTGATAGAAACTCGTCAATACATCGAGGAAGGGTGAGAATTTAATATATTTGTTATTTTGCTTCGGAATGAATAAATTTGATTAATTAATCGTTTCCTATTTATTTTTAATAACGAAAAACATTACTCAATTCTGATTGCTTCACACCAGTGCAATTTTATACTTACACTGGCATCACCCAATATATATATATATATATATATATATATATATATATATATATATATATATATATATATATATATATATATATATATATATATATATATATAACTTGTGGTTATGTAGAGCTCGATAATTGGATGTTGTAACTCAGAGCTGCACCAAAATCCCAGGTTCCATTCCTGCCAGAAGGCATATAGTTGCATTTTGCGCAACTGCCCTGGATAGGGCTAATAAAAAAATAAAATTTGCAATATGCATTCTCTTTGTTATTGTGTTCTAACGTAAAACGTATACATGGTTTCCCGATAATTGAGGCAAATTGCAAACGTCCCACAGTATTCTCTGATTTTGCGATTTAGAATGTCGCATAATATGATTTCCTGTTTACTGAAATAATTCAACGAATTAGATCGATGATATTCAAATTACTTTCTGGTCATGAACGGCTATTCAGGTTCCATTTTAATACTCTTATTGTCAAAATTTATCCCTTAGATTGAATTTTCGATTTCAAGTATAATAATTATAGCTAAACGTCACCATTAATACATGCTTTTAGTACTGCAACTGTGATGTAAAATATATTATAGTTTTAATTGCAGAAATAATTTTCCAAAATCATGCATTCCTTCTCTTGTATAGACTTCGTAAAATGAATGGTATATTTGTGTATGGTGAACCTGAGGTGTCCGTGGTTGGATTGGGCTCAAATGATTTTGATATTTTTGCTTTGGGGAATGAACTGATTCAAAAGGATGGAATCTTAACTCACTTGAATTTCCTTTTGGGTATCAAAATAATTTTGACTAAAGTTTCAAATTTACAAAAAATGAGTAAATTTGTTTATAAATTTGAATAAGTTTACTCGATATCGTGACTTACTGTGCGTGCATTATTTTATTCAAGTGCTTCAGTCAAATTTTTTTCAGTGTAGGCGATTTTTTTGTATAGTTTTATATTTAAAATTATTCGCCGAGGGGAATAATTGTTTTAGCATATACCACAACAACAAAAATGACCAAAAAACAACGAAAATATTTTAAAAACAAATTCTATTACTTCCGAAACAGTTGTAAACTAGGTTGTAAGCAAAACACTTTTAGTAATTTTATTGATTAGAAATAGCTTTAAAGAACACTTCAACACACGCTGTTAAACAAAACTTTGTGGATTTCTTTGTTTTTGTTGTTTTTATTTTATACAGATTGATAGCTTTACTGATTTTCTTTATTAGTATTCATATGTGTGTGACGATGCCTGTGACACAACCTGGAGTGGCTGATCAATTTAAAGATGTCAAAGAGAGTGCCGAAAAAATATTGAAAAATCCTCAAAAGAAAACCACAGGAGGCGCAAGTATCCTTAAAGTGCTTATGACACGAAATTTCACGTAATTTTTTCTTGATTCCATTGCAAAGATCACTTAAAATGACTATATAACCTTTTTGGTAGAATACTTCCCTACCGAGATATTCACATTTTGCCATTTTGAAATTGGTTAAGCACACAGATACGGCGGCCTAATGATTAAATGGTTTATACACACCTAAGCACAATTTTAAATATTTGTTATCGTGACCCCACAAGATAAACGTTCTGTGATAGAAACTCATTATATGCAGTGTGATCTGTTATGTCATACTGACAGTTTTTGCATATATTGTATCAAACAAAGTTGAATTGAATACCTCGGGAAGGAAGAGAGCTACAAGTATTCTACCAAAGGGGTTATATAGTTTTGAAGTGATCTTTGCAATGCAATCAAGAGAAAGTTGGGTGGAATTTTGTAATATTGAGCACTTTTATTGGCATATAACAAAACATTATTACATTGAGCGAGTGGCCCGGACTATAGGATATTAACTCGAATGGTTTGTGCCAACGTAAGGTATAGTGACAATAAAGCCCTGGGCAAAGTAGGAAACATTGTTGTGGAAACATTTGTGATTCTCGATGTTTCCTCAAATGTTTCCCTGTTTGCCCACCCGTGGACACATTGTTGCGGAAACAAAATTTGCTTCCCGAGAAGCAAAAATTATCCCAGCAAATTCAGAAACATTTAAGGTTTCCCTATGTTTCTCACTGTTTCCTAGTGTTTTCCCACTCTCGGAAACATGGCGAAACATTGGCAGGAAACAATGTTTCCGCAACAATGTTTCCTAGTTTGCCCAGGGCTTAAGGTGACACTGACCCCTCCTCCTGTTTTTCAAGGTGACTTTTCCAATTTATTTAATTCCGAGTAGTAATTGGCAAATGAGAAAAAATGATTACATTGAGTGAATGACTCGGACTATAGGATATTAACTCGAATGGTGTGTGTCAACGTAGGTAGTGACAATAACACCAGAAAGCTGAGGATTGAGACGGATTCAACTACATGAAAAATACAAGCAAAGGCCCTTCGTCCGAAACGTCGAAGTTTTACTAGTAATTTTCAAGTAGTTGAATCCTTCTCAATCCACAGCTTTCCGTAAGATATTGGTCGAGTTCTTTATCCGTGTGTATATGGATCGAACCATAGTTGAGACGAACATCCTACTGTCTGCACCGAACAAGCTCAGTCAATAAGTTTTTTATTATATTGCTGAAAACAATAGCAAAAGCATTCTTCGAAAAACAATGTTTAATTAATCTCTTTACAACATTATTTCAACATTCAAAAATAGGTACCCAACGCGTACATACCGCTCTGTCTGTGTCACCTGGGTGGTATTATGGATTTCAACAGAACTTAGCTGGCAGATTGGTGTTAATCAGTTGTTGTAGTATGGCCGGAAAGCGTGTAGAACTGGCGAAGAGACAGAAATGTTAGAAACAACTTTCGGATACTTTGTAGCTTTACCTAAATGTTGCCCAGATGATTTTATGATTACTATAAAATAAGTTTCTAAAATGTCTGAATTAATAATTTGGGACGTGGTGCATGTGAGCTAAGGTAAAATTTCAGCGGACTGCATGCATACAAGAAAGTATGATATAAAACAGCAATTAACGAAGTTCACAGCTACAAGTATTACATGTTACTTTTAAAATACAGAAATTGCATTTGGTTTTATAACGTGTCACCGTATTGATTAACTCCAAACTTCATAAAATGTAAGCGATTAATAATTATTAAGACGTGCAAAGTTTAAAAACACCTCAGAAATGTAAACAAAACAACGTACGTGGAAACGCTAAGTTCTCTAACTTAATTCGCAGATAATTTGCATTTGAATTGCATTGCCCAGCAAACTGCCGAGTGTGACGTACATGCTTGTGTGACGTAATGCTGAGTGTGACGTAGAATGGTCCAAGACATGAAAGTGATATAGTGACTACCCCATACGCGGTAGTTACGAAAACAAAGTTCTGTATCCACATAGTCATTTCCGGATTTTCTGAATTTGAATTTGATGGCCTGCAGTCTGAACCTCTCGCTCAATATAATTAATTTTTGTCATTTTCGCATTAAAGTGCCCATGACACGAAATTTCAGACAATCTTTACTTGATTGCATTACAAAGATCACTTAAAATGACTTTTCTTCGCGAGCGGTCCCTACTGCAAGTTACTGACCACTCAGGAGCCAATCACAATGCTAAACATAAATAGTCTTCTTTATAAATGCATACTTGTATACTCTAAGAAAATGCCAGTTGGCAAATTGTAACAAAAATTGCGATTAGACTGTGACTTTCAGAAAGTTGGCCGGCCGTCTATGACCGGAGGCGGCGTTTAAACGAGTAAATATGTTTGGTATATTTTAGGGTGCTATTTATAGCATGGCTCGGCAGATACCAGACCGGTCCATGGTCGCTGAATTGGCTTGTAGTTATGTCGATAGTTTATACATGACACCAAAACCGACACAATCTCAAACTAATGGTCATGTCAAACAATAGAGTATAGTATTACCTGCCTTTTACTTTGGTATAACCTAGGATGACAAGTCCTGAAAGTGCACCTGGTATAGTTCCTTGGTTACGATTTACAGATATGTTGAATAAATATAATTTAATGATTATACAAATCTATAATTCTTTTGATACTGTGATTGAAGAGAAAATTCTTTCAGTATTAAATATTTGAAACTTTTCTAACTTTTATATTCATTATCAAATAGGCGCTTGCAGTAAAATTCAGAATTTGCTTTATTCAATCAAAGTATCAAACTGAATTAATTATTTTGAAGTAGTGTTGTGGTGCTGCCTTGAATTCTCAAACGTAAGTTAGTCTAAGACTGACAACAAACTTTGAATACCTCGAACATTAAAATGTGAGATAAATTTAATTTTTTGCACCCCTTTGCACCCCTGTTAACCAAGGCCTACCTGGGTGAAAAACAAATATCACCACTCTCCTATAAATCCACCACTAGATTAAACGAGGATGAAAGTGCATGCGAGTTGCCAATCCCGCGACTTTGACTGGATGTTCTCAATGCTTTCACAATTACTATCATGTATTTTATTTAAAACATAATTGGAAAACTCATCAATCATTTATTTTGTACCAAAGCGCGACTGTCTACTCTCATCAACATGCTAAATGATGTCAGTTCGATCACAATTATTACTAATGTGTAACGAATTGTAAAGAAAAGCAAAATATGGGTTGGGGGTAGTTATACTCTCTCCGACACCAAAAATTGAAGGGGATACGCCCTCCCCCTTCCCCTCCCACCCCCTGCTAACATTGACACCCTTGTATATAATATAGGTATTAGTTAATTCATCATCTCATTGTAATTTGCCTCATTGCGGGCTGGCAATCGCTCGGAAAATTAATAAATATTTTAAACAAGGGAGCATAAAAAAATTCAAAATGAAAACAAACACCTTGAGAAATGCTAGATATGGGGGCTGCCTGTGTATTTCTGGGCGTTTATTTCAAAACTTCAGGAAAGAAAACTTGTATTGATCCCGACAATATTTCTGAAATAAATAGTTTCAAGTAGTTAAATTTCGGCAAAGGTGAAGGGTTTTGGCTACTTTTTCAATTTTTTGGAGACGTTATATACGTATTGTAGATATACCCTGGAAACATAGAAGACAGGCAGGGACCGGACATGCACTACCACTGCGCAACAACTCCAACAAGAATAGCAGAATGCACCCGCAATCCATCGATCTATTTATTTCACAGGAGTCATGCTAAGTTATATATTATAACACTTAAAACACGTATTAATATTCGAGGCCGGGAATTATCGGTTGATTGCTTTCCCGATAACAATAGATCACTAGCAACGACATAGTTGTATTGAAATGTTTCATTTTCCTATAGTAAGTCTCAATAAATCTTTCAGTCATTCTCACACGCTATCCTTCCCCGCTATGCCATCCACGTGGATTTCACGCGCGTGAGATAAAAATTAATTGATATATACACACGTATGCAAACAAGTTGTTACAAATAAGTTGTTACAAGGTCTGCAAACAAGTTGTTACAAATCCGTTCATAAGCTGTCGACAAGTTGTGTTCGCAATGCTTGTTCCCAGTTGTTGTAACAAGTTTGGAACAAGCTGTTAATAACTTGTAACAAGTTAGATGGCATTATCAAGATTGTTTTGATACACTCAAGATACAACAAGAATGTTACAACGATAGACTGTTTGTAGTACTATTTCACGCTTGAAATTTTCACACAAAAGCTGACGGCAAGTGGTTGTATTCCTTAAGCAAGTGGTTGTATTATACATCACGGGTACAAATGCTGTGTATAGTTTGTGATTTTCTTGATTAAAGTCTTCGTATAAAAAAATGACCTAGCTTAAGAACGAATTTGGCCATGGTGATGAAAATGATCCTAAATTTTTATGTAAATCAATGGGATTATTATTAAATACCGTATTGGATATACAAGCCCTCGTCTTTTACACTGTCTTGGTAGGATAAAAATTTCATTAATTTCGCATTAGTATTTCATAGTTAAAAATTGGAAAAGTGCGTCATATTTGCAAGAAGGTAAGAATTAATTCCCTAAAATATATATGCATGAAATTGTGAACACCAGCATATTTGCTTAATATAATCCGAAGTCCATTAAGACGTTTACATTTGCACCCCTGCTGTTTGTTCATTCAGTACAAGAAGTTGATGTCGTGGCCTTTGATCATCTGATTTTATATTTCCAAGTATGAATATTCATGGTGTATCGTTTAGTAGTGCAAAGTGAAACCAAAGCGAAGTCGGAAGTGTTTCAGAAACTTCACCTCTTGCTCTTAATTTATTTGCTTGACAATGTAATATAATAAATCAGATAGTGAATGATCGTTGCAGGTATCTATTTGTACAATACAAATAGCAGAATAATGTGTTGTAACTGTAAGCTGTAAAGAATGTCTTGCTGCCCAACAGAAGAAAAGTATGGCTATGAAGGCTGTCGATTTGAAAGCGATGTCGACGAAAATTTTCACTGTTCTATATGCTATAATGTTCTCAAAGAACCAAGGATGTGTACAAAGAATGAACACGTGTTTTGTCTTGCCTGTATCACTCAATATCTGAATGTAAACTCTCAAACTTGCCCGGAATGTAGCGAACATTTGAGTGCAGATACGCTTCGTCGAGCACCGCGTGCATTGAATAATTATTTATCTAAACTAAGGATAAATTGCGATTATGCCAATCGAGGATGTCCACAGTTTACCTCTGTCGAGGAACTCAAAAATCATGTCGCGAATTGCGGGTTTTCCCCTGTGTTGTGTTCAAAAGAGGAATGCAGTATGGTAATTGATAAGAAAGATAGAATCCACCACGAGACTGTGCTTTGCGAATATAGAAAATTCAAGTATTATGGCTGTGAACAAACACAGGAAGATGTGAAAGCAATGAAGAGAAGTTTAATGGAATTGGACGGGGAAGTAAAAGCAGCTAAACAGACAAAGTTAGAGAACAACCATGTTGACATGGAAAAGTTCTTGGGAAAATTGGAAGGAAGTTTAGTGGAACTGGATGGCAAAGTGGAAGTAGCAAATGAAAAGATAGAGAACAATAATCTTGAAATGAAACAGATCGTTGGAAGATTGGAAGGACGTTTAGTGGAACTGGATGGTAAAGTGGAAGCAGCTAATCAAAAGACAGAGAACAATAATTTTGAAATGGAAAAGATTGTAAGAAGATTGGAGGAAAGTTTAATCGAACTGGATGGTAAAGTGGAAACAATGAATAAAAGGCACGATGAAATTAAACAAGAAGCAAAGAAAGAAGTCGAGGAAGTTAGGAAAGAAGTAAGAGACGTGAAAGAAAATCTTTGCAAAATGGACAAAGACGTGGACGAAGTCAAAGTCATGGTGAGTCAAATGTTGGAAAAGATAAATGTGCTCGAACGGATGAACAAACTGTCCTCTCCGACAGATGAATTGTTGAATAACCTAAAAGAAGACATTTTAGTTGCAGGTGGATATTGTCTTTCGGTTAAAACTGGCAAAAGTACTGAAATTTATTCCTGGGAGAAAAACGGTTGGTTTGAAGCGGCACGAATGAATGATGAGCACATTGGAGCTTCATTAATTAGCTATAAAGGTAAGTTATTTGTCTTTGGAGGAGACGGTAACAAGAAGATAGAGACCTTGGATCTCAATGAATTACCTTTGAAATGGAATAAGTTTTGTGGAGAACTTCCTTACAAGTGTGATGATCATCAAACTGTCGTTTACCAACAACGTGTCATTCACATTGGTGGATATATCTCTGGCAAATCGAGACGGTCCAACGTGATTAGTGAATTGGAACTTACCTCACCTTGCGCAATGAAAGACTTGTGCCAAATGCCTGAGCCAAGAGATTGTCATGGCGCTGAAATACTCGAAGATAAAGTGTTGATCCTGGGAGGACAAAAATCTCACTATTGTAAACATGCTATGGACAGTGTATTGGAGTTTGATGCTACGAAGAATGAATGTAAGGAGTTGTCGCCATTACCACATCCTTTGACGGAACTGGCAACGGTTCGCTGGCTAGATCAGGTAATTGTGCTTGGTGGTCGTGATAAGAATGGTCAAGTTCTTAATGATGTTTTCATGTACGACTGCAAGACGGGAAAGATCATAGTCTTACCATCCATGTTGGAGAAGAGATATGAATGCTGTTCAGTTATCACTGGAAACACAATTGTAGTCATGGGAGGTATCAATGAAGAAGATGAATATCTCAACTCAGCGGAGTGTTTTACAATGGGAGGTTCTACATGGGAATATCTTCCTGCCATGAATAAAGCCAGGTACAGAGCAGTTGCTGACGTGTTACCTTCCACAAGAAAGTATGTGTAAGCTTGACATTTAGACATTATGACAAGACGTTTATTAAGCTTAATTGACATTAGCAATTCTGTCGGCGATTTTCAACCTCCTGACAAACGTGATCGAAAGAATGACTTGCAAAACACGTTTACTTCTGAAAAGCGACTCTACACTTGTGTGTGCGTGTTCACTCATTTCGATCCGTCAGAAACACAAAATCGCCAATAAAATTGCTATTGTGAACCAGGCTTTAATCGGCAGTAATTATGTATGCAGTCGTTTTATTCAGATTGGATATCTCAAGTTTTCCAGAG